AGTGCCAGGAATACCTACATTGTTTATTCTGGACCCTATTTTGAAATTGGAATATTTTGAACTTTGTGTTAAATTAGCCAAATTAACAATTTCCGATCACTTTAATTTGTAGTTGAAACAGTTGACTTGGCGATTTCTCGTGCTCAATCGATAGAATAGAAGTAATACTAGTGAAATAGCTAAGAATTTGGTTGACTGGAGTAATGTAATTGGCCTAAAATGGAAGTCAAAGTCGGCAAAATCGCCGATTCGTAAATATCGCTGACACATCAAAATTCGCGAGAGCATAATTTCGTCAATTTTCCATCAAATTTCGTACTTTTTGTTTTATTACCTTCACAAAAAGATTCTCTGCCATTTCATAAGAAAAAATAACAAAATTTTTTTTTTTAAATTCTTGGACACTGGGGCACCACTTCAGATTTGGGCCTTGGACCCTGAAGGGGTTAATGACCCTCGTGTAGTAGATAGTCTTTTTAGTATGATAATAAGATGTTATCTTCATTATAGAATAATAAGAAAATATTATAACATTTATATTATAATAAGGTAAAAGGACCCCAATGGAAATAAGTCACTGTCTGACTTTTTTTGGGCTATCCTAGGTTCTCTACACATATGCTGCTATGTATGATAATTCTATGTAACTGTACTTGTGTTTTTTTTTTTTTTTAACAAGTCGGCCGTCTTCCACCAAGGCAGGGTAACCCAAAAAAGAAAGAAAATCCCCAAAAAGAAAATACTTTCATCATCATTCAACACTTTCACCACACTCACACATTATCACTGTTTTTGCAGAGGTGCTCAGAATACAACAGTTTAGAAGCATACACATATAAAGATACACAACATATCCCTCCAAACTGCCAATATCCCAAACCACTCCTTTGAAGTGCAGGCATTGTACTTCCCATTTCCAGGACTCAAGTCCGACTATATGAAAATAACCGGTTTCCCTGAATCCCTTCACTAAATATTACCCTGCTCACACTCCAACAGATCGTCAGGTCCCAAGTACCATTAGTCTCCATTCACTCCTATCTAACACGCTCATGCACGCTTGCTGGAAGTCCAAGCCCCTTGCCCACAAAACCTCCTTTACCCCCTCTCTCCAACCCTTTTGAGGACGACCCCTACCCCGCCTTCCTTCCCCTATGGATTTATATGCTTTCCATGTCATTCTACTTTGATCCATTCTCTCTAAATGACCAAACCACCTCAACAACCCCTCTTCTGCTCTCTAACTAATACTTTTATTAACTCCACACCTTTTCCTAATTTCCACACTCCGAATTTTCTGCATAATATTTACACCACACATTGCCCTTAAACAGGACACCTCCACTGCCTCCAACTGTCTCCTCACTGCTGCATTTACCACCCAAGCTTCAAACCCATATAAGAGTGTTGGTACTACTATACTTTCATACATTCCCTTCCTTGCCTCCATAGATAATGTTTTTTGACTCCACATATACCTTAACGCACCACTCACCTTTTTTCCCCTCATCAATTCTATGATTAACCTCATCCTTCATAAATCCATCCGCCGACACGTCAACTCCCAAGTATCTGAAAACATTCACTTCTTCCATACTCCTCCTCCCCAATTTGATATCCAATTTTTCTTTATCTAATTCATGTGATACCCTCATCACCTTACTCTTTTCTATGTTCACTTTCAACTTTCTACCTTTACACACATTCCCAAACTCATCCACTAACCTTTGCAATTTTTCTTTAGAATCTCCCATAAGCACAGTATCATCAGCAAAAAGTAACTGTCAATTCCCATTTTGAATTTGATTCCCCAAAATTTAATCCCGCCCCTCTCCCGAACACCCTAGCATTTACTTCCTTTACAACCCCATCTATAAATATATTAAACAACCATGGTGACATTACACATCCCTGTCTAAGACCTACTTTTACCGGGAAGTAGTCTCCCTCTCTTCTACACACCCTAACCTGAGCCTCACTATCCTCATAAAAACTCTTTACAGCATTTAATAACTTACCACCTATTCCATATACTTGCAACATCTGCCACATTGCTCCTCTATCCACTATCATATGCCTTTTCTAAATCCATAAATGCAATAAAAACTTCCCTACCTTTATCTAAATACTGTTCACATATATGCTTCAATGTAAACACTTGATCTACACATCCCCTACCACTCTGAAACCTCCTTGCTCATCCGCAATCCTACATTCTGTCTCATCTCTAATTCTTTCAATTATAACCCTACCGTACACTTTTCCTGGTATACTCAGTAAACTTATTTCTCTATAATTTTTACAGTCTCTTTTGTCCCCTTTCCCTTTATATAAAGGGACTATACATGCTCTCCGCCAATCCCTAGGTACCTTCCCCTCTTTCATACATTTATTAAACAAAAGTACCAACCACTCCAACACTATATCCCCCCCTGCTTTTAACATTTCTGTCATGATCCCATCAGTTCCAGCTGCTTTACCCCCTTTCATTTTACGTAATGCCTCACGTACCTTCCCCACACTTACATTCTGCTCTTCTTCACTCCTAAAAGATGGTATACCTCCCTGACCAGTGCATGAAATTACTGCCTCTGTTTCTTCCTTAACATTTAAAAGTTCCTCAAAATATTCTCGCCATCTACCTAATACCTCCATCTCCCCATCTACTAACTTCCCTACTCTGTTTTTAACTGACAAATCCATACTTTCCCTAGGCTTTCTTAACTTGTTTAACTCACTCCAAAATTTTTTCTTATTTTCATTAAAATTTCTTGACAGTGCCTCTTCCACTCTTTCATCTGCTCTCCTTTTGCACTCTCTCACCACTCTCTTTACCTTTCTTTTACTCTCCATATACTCTGCTCTTCTTATAACACTTCTGCTTTGTAAAAACCTCTCATAAGCTACCTTTTTCTCTTTTATCACACCCTTTACTTCATCATTCCACCAATCACTCCTCTTTCCTCCTGCCCCCACCCTCCTATAACCACAAACTTCTGCCCCACATTCTAATACTGCATTTTTTAAAACTATTCCAACCCTCTTCAAACCCCCCACTACTCATCTTTGCACTAGCCCACCTTTCTGCCAATAGTCGCTTATATCTCACCCGAACTTCCTCCTCCCTTAGTTTATACACTTTCACCTCCCTCTTACTTGTTGTTGCCACCTTCCTCTTTTCCCATCTAACTCTTACTCTAACTGTAGCTACAACTAAATAATGATCCGATATATCAGTTGCCCCTCTATAAACATGTACATCCTGGAGCCTACCCATCAACCTTTTATCCACCAACACATAATCTAATAAACTTCTTTCATTACGTGCTACATCATACCTTGTATATTTATTTATCCTTTTTTTCATAAAATATGTATTACTTATTACCAAATCTCTTTCTACACATAGCTCAATTAAAGGCTCCCCATTTACATTTACCCCTGGCACCACAAATTTACCTACTACTCCCTCCATAACATTTTTACCCACTTTAGCACTGAAATCCCCAACCACCATTACTCTCACACTTGATTCAAAACTCCCCACGCATTCACTCAACATTTCCCAAAATCTCTCTCTCCTCTACACTTCTCTCTTCTCCAGGTGCATACACGCTTATTATAACCCACTTCACATCCAATCTTTATTTTACTCCACATAATCCTTGAATTAATACATTAATAGTCCCTCTTTTCCTGCCATAGCTTATCCTTCAACATTATTGCTACTCCTTCTTTAGCTCTAACTCTATTTGAAACCCCTGACCTAATCCCATTTATTCCTCTCCACTGAAACTCTCCCACCCCCTTCAGCTTTGTTTCACTTAAAGCCAGGACATCCAGCTTCTTCTCATTCATAACATCCACCATCATCTCTTTCTTATCATCTGCACAACATCCACGCACATTCAGACTTCCCACTTTGATAATTTTCTTCTTCTTATTCTTTTTAGTAATCTTTACAGGAAAAGGGGTTACTAGCCCATTGTTCCCGGCATTTTAGTTGACTTTTACAACACGCATGGCTTACGGAGGAAAGATTCTTATTCCACTTCCCCATGGATATAAAAGGAAAAGTAATAAGACCAAGAACTATTAAGACAAAATCAAAGAAAACTCAGATGAGTGTGTATAAATAAATGTGTACATGTATGTGTAGTGTGACCTAAGTGTAAGTAGAAGTAGCAAGACATACCTGTAATCTTGTATATTTATGAGACAGACAAAAGACACCAGCAATCCTACCATCATGTAAAACAATTACAGGCTTTCGTTTTACACTCACTTGGCAGGACGGTAGTACCTCCCTGGGTGGTTGCTGTCTACCAACCTACTACTATGATGGAAGATATATTACAGAAATAGACATGATTTTGATTGCTTTCATGACGAAAAGTACCTTGAAATTGAGCTCAAAGTAGCGGAAATGTTTGATTTTTGCCGATGTTCAATGAACTGTGTAAGTCAAGCTGGTTAATTTTATTAAGTGTATTCTAACTAACCACTCTGTAATTCGGCAAACTCAGTAATCCGGCACACTACAGGTCCCAATGATGCCGGATTTGTGATGGAGGACCTGTAGTATGTAAAAAACAATCTTTTTTTTTTTTACATTGGAAAACGTGTAAAAAACTTTGATCTACTTTTTTTTCTTTGTTATATTTGAAAATATGTAAAAAAACATAGATCTACTTTTGGAGCACTACGCATGCGAACGTAAATTTGTTTGGACAGTTTAAGGGTTAAATAGGTAGGTTGTTAGGTGAGGAGTACCTGTAATGAAATCCTTTATTGACTATGTTTTGCCCACACAGTGGCCTTTCATCAAGTCACAAACAGATCTGTTCATGACTCGACGTAGTCAATAAAGGATTGCATTATACTGTACTGCATTTCTGTCTACTTTTCCTTCATGTCTGTATTTTATACCATTTATGTCCATTGTTGGTATAATACACCAGGTTACCACCAGCTACAAAGATACTGAGAATGACATTTACCTGCAGGTCAATCTCCAGTTTGGGCTCTTTCAGCAGCCTTAGAACACAGTCTATGTGTCCACCTTGCGCTGCTGCATGCAGAGATGATGCACCAGACTTGTCTAAGGCATTGACTGACACACCAGCTGCCAGGCATTCTTCCAGCAATGCCAGATTCCCACGTCTTGCAGCATCAATAATAGGCACCTTTACATTGTCAAGACTAACTGCAAAGAAAAATAAGAAATTCTGAAGCTATATACAAGAGTATAATAAACACTGGTCACTGGAACAAGCAAAACCACATGGAGCAAATGACACAGAAGTTAGGAGGAAGTACTGTATTTCTTGAACCACAACTCAGGTCCCAGATACAAAAAACATACTGTAATGCCAATATTATGGAACATCACATCACAAGTACAGAGGCAGGTTTATTGTGACTTTCAGTTCTATGCAGAGCTTTATCGTCACTAACTTGATAAAGCTTCAAACAGCAAAATGTCATCAAAATTTATTTTATGGGGTAACACTAAACCCACAGGGGTCAAACAACACATTGGAGAATGGGAAGCAATCAGATTCAATCCAAGGAAAGACAGGGTAGCCCCAATTCTTTGGCTCAAGAACCCATCACTATCTTGTTTAGCAGACTGGAAGCCTTAGTTAAAGATTAAAATATACAGTACAGTACTGTACTCTGATCTTGTGTGTCATGTTCTTTAAGTGGGTTTGTTTGTAACTTTGTAGCTATTATTATGTTTAAAGATGGGACAGTACCAAAATTTTTGCTGATACTGATACTCAATTTTAGGCCAATTTTGATACTATCAAAATTAGGCAATAGCCAATGGTAGTGATACTTTTGCACAGCTTATCTAGGTAAATAACAAAAAGGCACAATACCGTGACTGGAATGATACACAAATAACCCGCACATAAAAGACAGAAGCTTACGACGACGTTTCGGTCCGACTTGGACCATTGACAAAGTCACACTAACAGAGGAGGAGCAGGACGGCTATATATAGGCAGGAAGAGGTGGAGGTAGTAGTAGTGGTAGTAGTAGTAGTAGTAGTAGTAGTACAAGAATTGTATATAATACCGACAGGATGAAATGACACATGCACAACACCCGGGCATCCCCACCGTAGACGTTTCGCCATCCAGCCAGCCACTGGATGGCGAAACGTCCACAACAAAGACAACCAGACGCCGCACATGTGTCTAATTTCATCAGTAGATGTAGTAGAAGAAGAAGAGGTAGTAGTAGTGGTAGTGGTAGAAGTGGGAAATAAGGAAGACGAACCAGTCAAATACAAAGGAAGGGGAGCACTGCAAGAGAGCTAGAAACCCACAGAGGGAGAGCAAGCACACCGAGGTGCGTGAAAGGGGAAGTGGTGAAATAAAATAAAGAAGGAACAGAAACACGAGACAGGAGAGAGAAAGACAACCCAGAGGAGAAAAGGAGAGAGGAAAGGGGAAGAGGAAGAAGAAAAAGAAGAAGAAGAAGAAAAAATGAGGATTCAGGTTAAGTCAGGGGTTTGTTCTGAAGTTTGGAGCATTTTACAATGTAGTGGGAGAGGAAGGCATCTACAGAGACGAAGCCAGGGCTAAGGTTCTACAAGGAAAGTTGTGTATAAGAGAGGATTCAACTAAACGGCGACTGTTCGAGTTGGAAGTAGGGAAGACAGTTTTAGCAGAAGACCAGTCAATAGGATGGCTATGATCTCTGACGTGACAGAAAAGAGCATTGTTAGTGTCGGCAAGCCTAACACTATTTTTGTGCTCCCTAAGTCTGTCAGAAAGAGATCGACCAGTTTCTCCAAAGTATTGAAGAGGACAGGAGGAGCAAGAAATAGAGTAGACACCAGGAACATCTGTAGAGGGAGGAGAGGTATGAACGAGATTAGTGCGAAGAGTGTTAGTCTGGCGGAAGGTAAGCTTGATGTCTAAGGGACGGAGAGAATTGTTGAGATTTAGAAAGACCGGAAATGTAGGGAAGGCAGAGGATAGAAGAGTTCCCATGAGTAGAGAGTTTGGGAGAGAAGAAATTGCGTTTAGCACGTGAGAGGGCAGAGTCTATGAAATGGGAAGGGTAGCCAAGACGGGAGAACGAATTATAAAGAGTGGAAATTTCTGCTGGAAGGAACTGAGGATCACAGATGCGGAGGGCACGGAGAAAGAGGGAGATAAGAACACTTTTCTTGACAGGGGAAGCATGATAGGAAAAGTAGTGAATGTACATGCCACTGTGCATAGGTTTACGGTAAACGGAAAAGGAAAAACCCGTATCTGAGCGGTGGACATGGACATCAAGGAAAGGAAGTAAGGAATTAGATTCCCATTCAGCTTTAAACTTAATGGAAGGGGCAAGATTGTTAAGAGCTTCAAGAAAAGGTTGGAAGAGACTGGAGTCATGAGGCCACAGAGCAAAGATGTCATCCACATAGCGGAGCCAGAGTGAAGGTTGCACATCGAGGGTAGGAAGAAGAACAGTCTCGAAGTATTCCATGTAAAGATTAGCAAGGACAGGAGAGAGAGGAGAGCCCATAGCGGCACCGAAGGTTTGGGAATAATATTTCCCTTGGAAGGAAAAGGAGTTAGAGTCCACACAGAGGCGGATCAGATCAAGAAAGACAGCATAGCGCCTGATAAAGTGGAAAATGGCAAATGTAATACCTATTAACAAGGCAGGTGACAGGTCCTTAGCTTCGAACTATAGACCATTAAGCCTTACCTCCACAGTAGGAAAATTAATGGAATCAATAATTGCCAAAGGAATTCATAGCCATCTTAACAGGCATAAATTGATTAACCCTTTCAGGGTCCGTCCCGTAGATCTACGGCTTTACGGTGAGTGTCCAAACCGTAGATCTACGCCATGAGCTCAGCTCACTCTGATAAACTGTGAGTGGTACATTTGGGCCTAGATATGAGAGAATACATCTATGTGGTATGTGTGCACCACATAAAACAGATCCTGCAGCACAATGTGTATAATGAGAGAAAAAAACTGAAATCATGATTTTTCGATTAAAACAGCAACTTTGCAGTGTTTTTTCGTATGTTTTTTATAGTTGTATTTGCGATTTCTTGGTCTCATTTGATAGAATGGAAGACATATTACAGAAATAGAGATGATTTTGATTGGTTTTAGCACTGGAAATGGCTTGAAACTGAGCTCAAAGTAGCGGAAATGTTAAATTTTTGCCGATATTCAAGAGTAAACAAACGACCTCACACATCTAATACACGTCAGCTGGTGGGTCTAATATACATTCACAAATATGGTGATATTTATACAATTATTACAGTATTGCATAACAGTAAATCTTCTATTTTTTGGTGTGAATAAAAATTCATTATGTGAATAAAAAATCAAAATGGAATTTATTTGTAAAGCCTCAAAACATAACTAATGAACAGAGGAAATGTTAGTTTAGTGCCAGGAATGCCTACATTGTTTATTATGGACCCTATTTTGAAATTGGAATATTTTGAACTTTGTGTTAAATTGGCCAAATTAACAATTTCCGATCACTTTATTTTGTAGTTGAAACAGTTGACTTGGCGATTTCTTGTGCTCAATCGATAGAATATCGCTGACACATCAAAATTCACGAGAGCATAATTTCGTCAATTTTCCACCAAATTTCGTACTTTTTGTTTTATTACCTTCACAAAAAGATTCTCTACGATTTCATAAGAAAAAATAACAAATTTTTTTTTTGAAAATTCTTGGACACTGGTGCGTGACTCCAGATTTGGGCCTTGGACCCTGAAAGGGTTAATGAATCTCAGCACAGTTTTACAAAGGGGCATTCCTGCCTTATGAATTTACTAACTTTCTTCACTAAGGTATCTGAGGAGGTAGATCATGGTATTGAATATGATACTGTGTATATGGACTTCAGTAAGGCTTTCGATAGAGTTCCACATCAGAGGCTACTGAGGAAACTTAAGGCACACAGAATAGGAGGAGAATTTTTTTCCTGGGTAGAGGTATGGTTGACAAATAGGCAGCAGAGAGTTTGCATAAATGGGGAGAAATCAGAATGGGGGCACATCACAAGCAGTGTTCCACAGGGGTCAGTGTTGGGCCCCTTGTTGTTCACAATCTACATAAACGACATAGATGAGGGAATAAATAGCGACATAAGCAAATTTGCTGATGACACCAACATAGGCCGTCCAATTCATTCTAATGAGGACATTAGAGCACTCCAGGATGATTTGAATAGACTGATGCAGTGGTCGGAGAAGTGGCAGATGCAGTTTAATATAGACAAATGCAAAGTTCTAAATGTTGGACAGGAAAATAACCATGCCACATTTTTTTTTTTAACAAGTTGGCCGTCTCCCACCAAAGCACAGTGACCCAAAAAGAAAGAAAATCCCCAAAAAGAAAATACTTTCATCATCATTCAACACTTTCACCTCACTCACACACAAATAATAAATAATGTAGCTCTTAATATTACAGATTGTGAAAAGGATTTAGGAATCCTGGTTAGCAGTAATCTAAAACCAAGATAACAGTGCATTAGTGTTCGCAATAAAGCGAACAGAATCCTTGGCTTCATAGCAAGAAATATAAATAATAGAAGTCCTCAGGTTGTCCTTTAACTCTATATATCTTTGGTTAAGCCTCATTTAGATCATGCTACGCAGTTTTGGTCACCGTATTACAGAATGGATATAAACGCACTGGAAAATGTACAAAGGGGATGACAAAGTTAATCCCATGTATCAGAAATCTTCCCTATGAGGATAGACTGAGAGCCCTGAATCTGCACTCTCTAGAAAGACGTAGAATTAGGGGGGATATAATTGACTTGTATAAATGGAAAACAAGAATAAATAAAGGGGATGTAAACAGCGTGCTAAAAATATCTAACATAGACAGGACTCGCAGCAATGGCTTTAAACTGAAAAAATTCAGATTCAGGAAGGATATAGGAAAGCACTGGTTTGGTAATAGAGTTGTGGATGAGTTTAACAAACTCCGGAGTACCGTCATAGAAGCTAAGACGTTGTGTAGTTTTAAAAATAGTTTCGATAAATACATGAGTAGGTGTGGGTGGGTGTGAGTTGGACCTGACTAGCTTGTGCTACTAGGTTGGATGCCGTGCTCCTCCCTTAAGTGACGTGTCTGACCTCACTAGGTCAAGGCATTGGCTTAAGCCGGTGGGAGAATTGGACCTGCCTCACACAGGCCAGTAGGCCTGTTGCAGTGTTCCTTCTTTCTTATGTTCTCTTCTTATCATGTAGTTTTCTGGCACGGATCCTGACCTCAAAGCTATTGTACTATGGCACAGACCTTGAAAGGGCTAAGGTCTTGCTCCATTGTATGGAAAGCCTGCTAGACAGATGGAGACAGAGACAGTAAGACAGAGACTGATAGAATGTCTCAGTCTCTTTCTCTCTCAGTCTCTCTAATATTCTCTCTCATACTCTCATTCTCTCTCTCTCTCTCACTAACAGACACAACCTTGGTAGAACAAACTTAGCCCATTGTATCGAATTTAAGTACAAACAAATTTTCTGTTCATTGTATCCAAAATCCATTATATATATGGCTGTTATAGCAAGGTTTTCTACACTGCTAAAGAATAACTATCTAAAGATTTTCAGTAACACACTAAATGTTCTCCACATGTTATACTGCACAAGTATAACACATTGTTAAGCATAACACACTAGATGTTCTTAAGTATAACACAAAGTGCAAGGTCTGAAGTTATTATTTTTTTTATTAACAAATCAGCTGCTTCCCCTCAAGGTAGAGTGGCCTGAAAAAGAAAAAAACTTTCATCATCATTCACTCCATCACTATCTTGCCAGAGGCATGTTTACACGACAGTTATAAAACTGCAACATTAACACCCCAAAGTTATCCTACCATATTTACTAGGGATATAACCCTTCTTGTTATCCAGGTTTGCCAGCCACCAGTTTGGGTCACTTCGGTCCACAACAAAGAGCAGGTCACCCTCCTCAAAGGACAACTCACAGTCCTGAAACACATTTAGAACACAAGATACAAAACTGTGTATCTGCATTTCCATTAAAGCACAATGAACTAGCATTAACATCCTGATACAGAACTGTACATAAGCTAATGCTGCTTTAACCCTTTGACTGTCACGACCGTATATATACGTTTACGAGGTACCGTGTTTGACGTATATATACTCATAAATTCTAGCGGCTTCAAATCAGGCAGGAGAAAGCTGGTAGGCCCACATGTAAGAGAATGGGTCTGTGTGGTCAGTGTGCACCATATAAAAAAAATCCTGGAGCACGCAGTGCATAATGAGAAAAAAAAAACTCCAACCGTTTTTTCTTAACCCTTAAATGGTAAAAACGTATATATACGTTTTTTCAACATCCGAAAGTATGTAAAAAAATGTAGATCTTTTTTGTTTTACATTTGAAAACGTGTAAAAAAAAACTTTTATCTATATTTTTTTTTGTTACATTTGAAAATATGTTAGAAAAAAGTAGATCTACTTTTGTAGCACTACGAATTTGAACGTCGATTTGTTTGGACCGTTTAAGGGTTAATTAAAATGCCGACTTTGTGGTCTATTTTCGTATAGTATTTGTGGTTGTATTCTCGTTTTCTTGGTCTCATTTGATAGAATGGAAACTATATTATAGAAATAGAGGTGATTTTGATTAATTTTACTATAAAAAGAACCTGAAAATGGAGCACAAAGTACGGGAAATGTTTTATTTTTGCCAATGTTCAAAAGTAAACAAATGATGTCATTGTCCAATAAATGTCCAACTAGCCATTCTAATATGCAGTCATGAATGGGTTGATGTTATTTATACAATTATTACAGTATTGCAGTAGTCTGCATAATAGTAAATCTTCTATTTTTTGTTTGAATAAAAATTCAAAATAGAAAGCAAGAGTAATACCAGAGGGGCCTGGAGACATGACTGATGAACAAAGAAAATGTTATTTTAGAGCCAGGAATGTCTGCATTGTTTTTCTTTTGGGCCCTTTTTTTGAAATTGTTTTTTTTTAATTTTCGTGAAAATTGGGCCCAAAAATTGGGAAAAATTTTGCCCACTTTTTTGGGGTTAGTTGAAATTGGTAAAGGGGTTTTTGTATAAAATTGATAGAAAAAGGGGAATTTCCCCAAAAAAAATGTATGAATTTGGTCGAGGGAAAAAATTTTAAATTTGCCAAAAAAAGGGTCAAAAGTGGGCAAAATCGCCGATTTGAAAAATATCACCGAGGTAAATTGCGCGAGAGGAAATTTCCCGTAGTTTTTCTTTAAAAATTTCTTTTTTTTTTGGTATCATTACAATGGGAAAAAAATTTTACTTTCATTTAAAAGAAAAATTAAAATTTTTTTTTTTTAAAATTTTTGGGACACCAGGAGACCCTCAGTACAGTGGCCCCGGGTTTAAACGATTTTAATCGTGAAAGGGGGGAAATTTGTTATGGGGAAAAAAAATCGTATGTAAATTTGAATTTCCCCCCTAAGAAAATAAGGGGGAAATTTTTAAAAATTAATCGTGCAAGCCCCCCAAAAGTATAAAAAAAAAAAATTTTTACCACATGAAATAAAAAATTTTCCACAAAAAAAGGAAGGATACATGCACAATATTTGAGTAGTACTTGACAGTATGTTTTGTGTTTGTATATTTCTACTAAATGAAGAAAAAAGGGCCCCTTCCCTTTATGAAGATGAAAGCAATGACTGGGAGAACTGTGTTGGGAGTGCCTTTTCCTCCTGAGTACTGTAGGTCCTTTTTGGCATTTTTTCCGGAACATCCCTTATCCCCATGTGTATGCCACTACGATTTCTTAAATCTCTAAAACCAAAACCTTTGTGGTTTTTAAATTCACCAATTTGAGATTTTTTCCAGGTTTTTTTCCCTTTTTCCTGGGTTTTTAGCGACTTGTGGGGGTTTGTCTGGGAGAAAAGTTTAAAGGCCCCCAAAGGGAAAATAAGTTAGCCAGTCTTCGAGGGCACGCCCTTTTTTGGGTTTTACCCTGGGTGGAAAATCCTCGGGGGTTTAAATTTGTTTTTTGGGTTTTCTAAAAAAGCCCCCCAAACAACGGTGCACAGCAGCGCAGCAGCTGACAGTGCAGCACCCGAAAGCAGCTGTCCCAACCAATGTAGCGATGGTTAAATTGGGGTTTATTATACAACCGGGCCCCGCTCGGGGGAATGCCCCCCTTTTTCTTTATTATAAATTGATCTTTTTCTTACCCTTATTGAAATTCCACCCTTATTGCTTAGGGTTGGCACTAGAAGCTTTCTTGGGGCCTTGGTCACTTTTTTTCCCAAAAAAACCCCCAAAAAAACCACTGAAAAATTACGAAAATTTTTCCGTTTTTATGTTTTGGATTTTTCGCGGAGGTGGCGGGGTAAAAAATCCCAACGGGGGAAAATTTGTGAGCGTGGTCAGGCCGCGTCTGGAAAGAAAATCGGAAAAGGGGTTTTTTAAAAGGGTATGGGGGGGCCAAAATTTTTGGTTTAAAAAGTAAGCGGTAGCAAAATTTAAATCGCTTGTATGCATCGTTATGGGGGGGTTTCCACTTTTATTGGGGGTTGGGGCAGTAAAGGGGGTTTAAGATTAATTTTTTGTGAAGGGAAAAACAAAAACAAAAATTCTGAAAAATATTTTCCCCCCCAAGAAAAAGGGGGGGGGAAAGTTGCCCCAATATGATGGGGGTGGGGGCAAATCAGCGATTTCCCCCCAAAATCACTTTTTTTTTTTTTTTTTTTTTTTTTTTTTAATTTTTTTTTATTCTATTTTTTTTTTTTTTTTAAGTAACATTTGTGGTCTGTAAAAACCAATATAAAAGTATATTGTATAAGTGTACAATAATTTTATTAAAAACAATAACTGATATTTGTTTATCATTATTTGCTTTAAAAAATTCAATATTTTTTTTTTTCACAATGGCGATTTTCCCCCAAGGGGAGGGTGGCCGAAAAGGAAAAAAAATTTTTTACCCTCATTTACTCCCTCACTGTCTTGCCGAAGGGGGTTTACAAATACAGTTTTTTTAAAATGCAACATTAACACCCCTCCTTTAAATGCGGCATTTTAATTCCCCTCTCCCGGGGTCAAAATTTCCCGGTGCCCGTTTCCCCGAATCCCCTTCCCCCAAAGTTACTTTGCTCCCACTCCAACAGGGACGTTTAAGGGATTAAAAACCTTTTTTTCCCCCTTCACTTATCAAACACGCTCACGATGCCTGCTGGGAAATCCAAAACCCTCGCCCCCAAAACCTCCTTTACCCCCCCTCCAACTTTCCCAGGCCGCCCTAAACCCCCTTCCTTACAAAGACTGATACACTTTTAAAGTATTCTGTTTGCTCCCTTTTTTACATGTCCCAAACCTCAACAAAAAATTCCAGCCCTCTGGGGCAAAAGGGTTTTTGGGAATCCGCACCTCCTCCTAAATTCCAAAAATTAAAAGGGAAATTTCTGCATTTTATTCCAACCCCCACTTTTCCTCAGAAATGCCTTTTCCATGCCCCCAGCCTTCTCCTCGCTGCAACATTTATCCCATGTTCACCCATATAAGAGCGTTGGTTAAAAATATTTTTTTACTTTTCTTTGCCCCCAAGGGAAAAAAGTTCTTTGTTCCCCAGGGCTCCCAAAATGCACACTCCCCCCTTTTTCCCCCATCAATTCTATGAATTTACCTCATCTTTCAAAAGCCCCCTCCCCTGACAGTCCCCCTCCCAAAAAATCTGAATACATTCCCCCCTCCCTACTCTCTTCCCCCCCAAAATTTATATTAATCTTTCATCACCCAATCTTTTTGTTTTCCCTTAACCTTACCCTTTTCCTGTATTCATTTCAATTTTTCTTTTTCCCCCCCCTACAAATTCATCCCCCAAATTTTGCAATTCTCTTCAGAATCTCAAGGACAGTGTATCAAACAAAGAGCCCGCTGTTTACAACTTTCCCCCTTTGTGTGTGATTCTTTTTTTCTTTTAAAATCCCGCCCCTTTTCCCAAAACCCCCACATTTATTTCTTAAAAACCCCCTTATAAAAATATTAAAAAACCATTTGGGGAATCAAACATCCTTGTTAAAAGGCCCACTTTTACTGGGAAATAATTTTTTTTTTTCCACCTACTTAACTTGGGTCATTCCCGTTTAAAAATTTCACTGTTTCAGTAACCCACCTTTTTACACCATACACTTGAAAATCTTCCCATTGCCCCCCCTGATGGCCCGGTGGTTAACGCTCTCGCTTCCACGGGGAGGGCCTTTGGGGTTTGATTCCCAAACCAGAGTTTGAAAATTGGAGTGTTTCTTTCCCCCTGTTGTTTGTTCCCTTGTAAAAAGGGTTTGGGGGTTTAGTCGATTGGGGTGGGTCGATCCTGGGGACATGACCCCGGGGGGTGGTCACAAAACCGGGCCGGGGGGGGATTGACCCCCGGGAAACCCCTTTAAAGGTTTAAACTCAAAGGTTTTCCACCCTTGTCAAGCCTTTTTCCCAAAACCTTTAAAACCCCAAAGACCCCTTTTTTGCCTTTTTTAAATATGTTCCCTTATATGTTTCACTGTAAACACCCGGTCCCACACCCCCCACCTTTTAAAGCCTCCCTTTTTCATCGCTTTATTCTCCCTTTATCTTAATTCCCTTTTAATAATAAAATCTAAATACCTTTCCCGGTATACTCAGCGTTTCCCCCATAATTTTTGCCCCTTTTTATCCCTTTGCCCTTTTTACAAAGGAAAATATGCATGTCTTGCAATCCCAGGTCCTTACCCCTTCCCTACATTTAAATTTAAAAAATTGCCAACCACTCCAAAAAATATATCCCCCTGCTTTTTTTTTCATTTTTATCTTTTTTCCCCAATCCGGTGCCTTTTCCCCCTTTTTTTTTCCTATGCCCCACGAACTTTCCCCCCATCCCCAATGGCTCTTTCCCCACTCCTACAAAAAGTTATTTCCCCCTTGTCCCTTTCATGAAATCCAAGGGCCCCCATCTTCATTAACTTTTAAAAAAAATTTAAAAATT